GTGTTTTCTTTCACTCAAATACTGTTTTACGCATTTTTATGACTGAAACTGTAGTGACTCAAAGGTCATACTGGCAGGGCATTCTACATCTCTACCCGAAGTACATACGTAGCCATTTTTATGCTGTACAATTCTTCTTCTACCTCACACACACACACGCATGCGCGCGCGCATTAATTGTTTTATTAAATGTATCCTCGAGAGTCAGTAAGAAACTAGAAATAACGGCCTTTGTTCTGTAAACCTCACCAAGTTTCAGCTTTCGCCTCTTCCTTTGTGGAATGAGATTTCACATTTGTAAGATGATCTCTCTTATCTGTCTGTACCATCAACTTAACTGCCCTCATCCCCTGCAGTTTTCCCGTCCCATATTGCCAAGCAGGTGACCCGCAAGGAGGAATACCGCCCTCCCACAGTCCAGTTATACTGTGCCTAGCACAATATGTTGGGAATACGTAGCCTTGCTCTGGGCAAACATTTCGTAACAATTTGGCAAACTTTGATATGTAAACAGCAAATATAATTCAGTTTTATTTCAACAAAAATCGGATCCTACTTATTTTGTGGATACCATAACAATAAATCAAACCAATAGATCGTTTGAGCTAGCATGAATATAAAAAAATAATTAGCAAGTCGATAGTCATAATTTCCTCTGTTGGTCCTACGTGAAATGTTCTTCATGAATAGAATAGATGGCTGATAGACGTTCGACCGAATATCATTAATTTTGCTAACTTCAACTGTTCATCTAATTTCCATGAATGTATGTTACATAGTTCATATGTTCATTGGCTTCTTCGCTGAATGTAAAGTGTGGAGGACTACTTCACTTGAAAATAAGTTACATAAATAATGATGATATTACATTTAGGTTCAGTTGTATTTTTATATTTGTATCATTTTGCAAATGTTACAGAGACCTGATAAGGGATATAATAATGTACAGTCGCTATTCTTAAAGTAAGAATATGTTAGATTTATCAACCAGACATATTGCACACAAGAGTATAATCATATTTCATGACACTATTCTACGTCGAAGTCAAAGATATTTGTGTATGTTATTGCTACATGACACGGATACGTCATGATAAAGCAATTACAAACTGACATTTGATGATATAAGATAGCAACGCGATAAATCGCTAAGAACAAAGAAGGAATCGAAATTTATTTCACGGTAAAACATTGTTCTATCATGACGTCATTTATTGAGATTCGAACATGCACTCGCAACTTGAAAACGTCGTAAATTGGACCTTATTTGTAAGAGGTATGTGTCTAGTGAGTTGCTCCCAATAAATGTTGCTGGAGACGATAGATAAACGCAGTGCCCGAACAATCGAATCCGAAAGTGAGAGTGATATGACAATCGGTATTGGGAGAAAAGGTACAGATAATCGACGAGAAAATTGTGAGAATATGCGGGAAAGACCAAACTCAAATCCTAAAATGGATTTAACTAGCATGGCCGCTGTCGGATTCTATTCAAGGAGTCATTATTATTTAAGTACGGGTAAATATTTTAAAGCGTGTATTTTTTCCTAATTCAACACCCTCAAAGAGGCTGTGCGTAATGTTGATATCTCATATAGAAATAAACGAGTCGTGGTCGTTGTTTATCGTACAATAAACAACTCCCACTCGTCGTTTGTCTCTTAATTACATGACCATATACACTAACATTATATCTTTTCATGTTTATCGGTCAACAAAAGCGACATAAGCATTTCCATTATCATGAGAAACCCTTGCCAAAAGTAGCACCAACTGCACGATTGCGACAACATCAGGAGCATGTTTCATGATTCATCATAATAAATGATGACACTGGGTGCTTGCAAAAACGCGAGCTCATTCCGATCCACTAGTGGCACCCGCCACAAACATATCCAAAGGCAAGCCAATTGTTCACCCGAAAAGGCAGAGAATTGCATCAGACATCATTTTGGTCATTGATACGTCAAACCTGGAAATGCCGTCTACACCTCCAACACAAAGCCCTAGCCAGGACCCAAATCCTTTAAACCCGGCCAAAGTTCTGTAAATTACATACATTTCCCCCTAACCTTAAGTAATCTATACTAGTTCTGAAGTAAATCGTGTTTACCCGCATGAATCGTCTTATGTTATTTATTGCCGATAAACAGAATATGCACACTTTCTGAAAGTACTGTGTGATAAGTCACGCACCAAACCTATACTCTCGATATACATGCTGCTCTTATTTAAAAAAGAATATTGGGTCAACAAGATACGTATATTAAAGTGCCATGCTTTCCTGATGTCCTCTCATTCTAATTTGAAATAATGGCATAAATAGTTACCACTCATCTTTCAATATTTTTCAAGGTTGGGTTAATCACAAACATATTTGAATATGTACATCAGCTATACTTACTTATCTTTATACTTAAAGACATCAGGTTTGTCTGTCATAAGACCCCGAAACAAATATGTCCAACACAGCCCAATATTTGGCTCTTGGCTCCTTGTTATTATATTTTATAACTATTGTTTAACAACAAAATATGTTCATTTCAGTAATTAGATGTTTTTCTAGCATCAGGTCTGATGTACGTTCACTGCATCAACATTACATTAAAACGATATTTACATTATATAAATACATACAGAGGAAATGCTTAGCATTTATCTTTTAAGGAAGAGTGCAGGACGACTTGCTTTATACATATAAATGTGGACATTCATGTATGGACATTTGGATGATATAGATATAACTCCTTAAAGATAGTGTTTGTAGATGACTGTAGAAAAAGGAATAATTATGTGAGTAATCGGGTTAATACCACGTTCAGCAATATTCAGCCACATTGCAATATTGGTTTCCAACATACAAGACGGACCATGAAATTATGACTTGAATTTGGGCCTGGCTTTCTGGTGTGATGTAACACCCCATAATCTCCGGTAGAAATAGAGCTTAAAGCACGAATTAAGATCACGAGATGATACTGATGTATACATCTGGACATATATTTGCGTAGTATTGCTACGTTAATTCATCAGTATATATGTATTTTGCATAAAAGGATATTGTAGGATCGACGCTGACATGCGCATATAACCTATTCACCAGTGCTGTAATATTTAATTCATTTCTTTTGACACGTATCGACACGAGAAACTATATTTAAATTTAAAAGGAGCCCAAGTGGGATGGAAATTTCAGCCTGAACCTGTTGAACAAGGCTTGTTTCATTTGGGGCTATAGCATTGCCATTAAGGCCGGGGCGGAAGGGAACACCTGTTTGCACCCATCAGATACCAATCACAACTTCTCTCTCCAAACGAAAACAAAAAACGAAAAATGTCGGAAGTGTATCCTTCTAACTTTCTTTTTAGATACATGTTTTAACTTTAAAGTAATTATTTGTATCTCAGGTATTTTATTGCTATCTGTGATGCTGGTACCGTTTTGTCGCCATTGTGTAGCTTTTGTGGAGTTATTATGAATATCAAATACATGTCTTGAAATATGGACTTGTGAAAGAACTTATCATTGAACCATATGCATTTAAATTAATGCATATACCATTTACTTGGCGTGTATGGACATATTATCCGTCTACTTATACACACTTATGGACATATACAGAATTTCATTGTACCTTATTATTTAAAAAAATACCCGTGAAGATCCGGGTTAGAATAGGCCTTCAACAACCCATGCTTGTACGAAGGCGACTAACATGATCGGGTGGTTAGGCTTGCTGACTTGGTTGATGCATGTCATCGTATCCCAAATGCGTAGATCGGTGCTCTTGATGATAATGACTAGATTGTCTGGTCCAGACTGGATTATTTACGAACCACCGTCATGTAGCTGGTATATATATATTTATTGATTTAATGTCTCCATGTGCCCTTGATCGTGAGCCCTTGTTCTATTCAGCAAACAGCCCAAAACCGAAACACCACAACATATCCGATTACACTGATTCAGGCTGTCCCAGTTCTCCATGCGATACTGACGCCCGTTCGTCTCCCAGACCATACAGAATAAATTTAAAAGGAATCCAGCTCAAGTCTAGAACGATTTGGCAAGCCTAGATTGCCTCAATTCTATTCATGAAAGTAAGCATTAATAAAAAAATATTGATCTTGTCTGCTTCAGATTATATTTTGTAGATACATATTTTTAACTTGGACAATTGTACTGACACCTGCGCTTTCCCTATTGAAGCTATCTATAAGAATTTCGAATTGTCGTCCATTGTTCGATGTCAGTACATCGATGACAAGTGAGGATATCATAAAGTAATCGTTGATGCCGCGCTAGACTATGATAAAAATTATAATCAAGTTGACTGGTGTGTACATTACTGCAGTGAACATGTACATGATCATGCCCTAATAATCAAATGCCGTAATGTCAAAGTTTACATCCCATTAGTAAGACATCCCATTAGTGAGACACCCATTGTAAGACAGTGGAGTAGGTGGGATTAATTAAACAAACACAGCCAGTCTACCCACTTAGCAATGGTCACAGCCCATGATTAGCAGATTAATTAATAAGAGTAGGCCAGTAATTCTGTTTGAATATTCTCAGGTAATAAATGAGTTAGGAGCTAGAAGGAGCTTACTCAAAAAGTTGAGATGCATGTTTTGTTAAAACTTATTTATTACACATATAAATTCCCCCTAGTCTGTGAACATTTCATGCACAATCATGGCAGGTTTGCAGCAGGTTGAGTTGATTACCAGTCAAAGAGGTACTCTCCAGGTCCCCTTTCAGGGATATCTCCACTACAAGAACAAAGTAAGACAAACTGGTACTCACTGGCGATGTACCGTTAAGACCTGCATTGGCAAATGTACAACAGTTGGAAATTTTGTCAGAAATTTCACTGTACACAACCACCCACCAGAAGACACCAGCAGAATCCAGTTCCTTGGCAGCTTAAGGAAGAGAGCAAGAGAAGAACCAACCACTCCTATGCCAGACCTCTACAACGACGAGGTCTTGAGACATGATCCGGAGGCTGCAGCTATATTTCCCTCCTTCAGCTCAGTCGGCAGCACCATGTACAGACACCGCACACACCATCCCGAAACTCCCTAAAACCAGAGCTGAAGTCGACATTGCAGCACCCTGGAGAGAGACCCATGATGGTGAGCGGTTTCTGCTTTTTGCCGACGGTGAAGAAGACAAGATGCTGGTATTTGCAACTGATGATCAGCTTAGAGTCCTCCAGTCAGCTTCCATTGTCTACATGGATGGTACTTTCTCCGCCTGCCCAGATCTTTGGAATCAGCTTTACATACTGCATGCACGGAAAGGAAGCATTACCTATCCCCTAAGTCTACGAATTGATGCCTGATCGCCGGACTACAACTTACCAACGCCTCTTTGCTCAGTTGAAGGTCCACATCCAACATCTACTGAACCAACCATTCAACCCAGAGACATTCCAGGTGGACTTTGAAGTTGCTGCCATTAGAGCCCTCCGGACAGAGTTTCAAGGTTCAGACATCAAGGGGTGTTTCTTCCACTTTACCCAGGCGATTTGGCGGAAAACACAGGAGCTTGGTCTTGCTGTTGGATACAGAGATAACCCCCGTGTGTAACAATGGATCCAACGAGCTGCTGCCTTGCCTCTGCTGCCTCTTCAACATGTTCAGGATGCATGGATTGACTCCATGAACCAGTCTCCCGATGTACCGAATGCTGACGAATTCAACGACTACATAGTCACAAACTGGGTGGATTATGAAGCCAGATTCCCTCTTTCACTGTGGAACCATCACCAGACATTCGGCCCAAGTACCAACAACAACGGTCGCCTCAATGCATCACTGAATCATCGTCATCATAATCTCTACAGGTTCATCGAGATCATCAAGAAGATTGAGAAATCTGAGAAGACCAAGCTATCTCAGTTAGACCTAGGTGCAGCTCCACCAGCAAGAAAGCGTGTGTACAAGGAGATTGACAATCGACTTTCCAGACTGAAGGATCAGCTATCCCAGGGTGTCAAGACACCACTCCAGTTCTTGGATGCTTTTGGCAAACTTCTGAAGATGGATTAAGGTTGTGTCAGTGTGACAACCTCGATGTGAACTGTGATGTGAACTTTGAAATTAACTTTAACTGAACTCTAAGTGGCGAATATTTTATAAGTCCATTTTCATGATAGGGGTTAATTACCTGATTAACATGTGCAACCAGGTATGACATTGTTGTTTTAAGGTGTCTCACAACTGGGCTGTTTTACTAATGGGAGGAGACCATGTCAAATACTAATTTATTATTGTGTGATGAATTTAACTGGATCAGTGGTATGTGATATTAATATTCCATCAATTTCTTTCCTGGTTGGTCCATCCATGTCTACAAAATGAAAATAATACAATTAAAATGGAACATAGAAAATTCTTAATTTCAATCTAGACTTTCCCAATCATTATAGACTTGAGTTGGTCTCACTTTTTGCATTATTCTCTTGGGTCAACGTCACAGCTCATACCATACACTAACAAGACCAGTTTGCCCCTCGCCGTAGCTCCCGGATTTTGGTTATATCATCTAACATGGCCAACTCTGCTCTTAAGTAAACACGAACCTAATCAGCGAGGGGTCCTTTATCATCCCTATTTGGCTGCTTATAAACATCTGATATCTCTTCCCAAAGTCCTGGTTGATAATATATTTTCTGCTGAATATTCGAAACAGAAAGAGTGAGTTCGTACTACATATGTATACGGTTCTACTTTAAATGACTGCAGCGCTCCATTATGAAAACAAATTGTTTTAACGCCGCTCTCAGCAGTATTCCAGTGATATATGACGGCGGTCTGTTGTATATGCAATAAATGCAAATTGAATCTTAAATCTTGAAAGTTGTAACATTTCCGCAAAAAGTATCACATGCAGTATACAGTATATCAACTGCAATGTACTGTATACAACATTCAGTATACAGTGTGTCGCGAGCTCTGCGCTGGGCTGGAGCACACATTTCCTACACCTCTCCCTTCGGCAAACACCTCATGAGGGTTGCAACGAGGTCACAGGTCAGGCGTGCGCTCATCAGTTGTGTAATGCGGTCAAGAGTAAGATCTTCCGGAAGACCACTGCACTAGAGGTATGTGGATTGTTGATGAGGTACTACTGTTTGAAACTGGGAGTTGTACACTAAGCACTATTAGAGAAGAGCTCACAAAAAAAACGTTATGGACTCGCGGACGGACTTGTGTTTTCATTTCAAGACGTACATGTATCAGGTTGAACTTCCTAACTGTAACAATAACTGAACTTTACGCCTTTTATACACATTTGTGATGAGGCGAAAATATCGCGTTACGGCATCGTCGCCCTTCTGTAAAATAAAAAAAAAGGATTATCAAAGAGCGACAATGCGCACACGCGACAATGCGACAAATGGCCAATTGTTGCGCTTTTGTTAATTTTGACACATTTTGCTTGTTTTTGTAAGGGCGTCATGATCAATGCGACAATGCGACAACGCGACAATGTCCCTTCCATAGTGATCCGTACAAATAAAACTGAGTTATGAAATAGAAGTCTGACATGCCAGTTAAAAGATAAAGTGTTGCAGCTTCTGATTTCATAGATCTTCAAGAAGAATATCAATAATGGAATGGGTGATGAGTTCAACTGCATACGCTGTGATTAACAATAATGCTCCGAGTCAATACATTTTCTCAAATGTATGACATGCATTACGTGAATGAACATATTGTTTATACCCGTCCATGTTTTTGACGGACAATACAATTTACATGCTCGGTAAAAGTGAGGACGGGAATCATTGGGTGTTTCCGTGCTCTGTTCAGGTGAACAATTGACTTGTCCTTGCATGTGTTTGTGACGGGTGCCACTTGTGTGGCAGGATACGCTCACCTTTTCCCGAACAGCCATTGGGTGACCTGAACCACTTCGGATTTTTATCCAACATCAGTCTGATACACCGTGATATAACTGAAATACTGAAATACTGTACAGTTGAAAATGATGTTTAATGCGATTACCGTAGTGTGTTACTGCAACTGTTCAAATTTTGTGCAGTGATGTTATGTAATTTGTAAAAGAAAGCATATTGATTTGAATAGAATATACTTGCGTCAGTGTATTTTATTAACGCCCCAAACCGTAATTTTAACACATAAAATAACAGATCATATACGCGCATTGTGCCTTGACTTACTGCTAGCTTTAATAGGCCATCCCGGAATAAAAATAGTTCCCCCCAAAGCGAGGAACATATGTTTTAGTATGTTTACAAGAAATATATTCCAAACAATATCCTCATTAGATGAGAAGATCTTTTACAGAATTACCTCAGTAAGTCAATTACAATGACAGAGCGTCGTAATACATTTACATCAAGTACAATACGTCAAAATGGCCGACACGATAAACGGTGACGGGAGATATTTTCGAAGTTGTTAATTAACCTGTTGCTATTTCAAGCCTTTGTCATCACTGATCAATTGGCCGATCATTGAAAAGTGATTGTGAAGATGTGTCAAACAGATACTAAGGTAAATTCATAGATTTCTGTAAACTGTCACTACGATAGTTTGGATTATTTTTTTTTGGGGGGGGGTTTCTCTGGGAAGGGTTGTAGCGAGAGTATCCTTAAATGGGCTTCCAAACACGCTTCTGTATGAATTCGTACCAGGGAATTCCAAGGGTTTTCCCCAGGAATGTTGAAGTAGTCAGTGTATACGCCATTTCAAGAATACATTCACGTGAAGAACGTCATGTGACTGACCTCTCGTCCAAGCCTTATATCTTGTAAACTTCACATTACAACATTAGTTATTGTTATAACCAAATAAAACACAACCCATTATCCGATAGGGGTAACTGTGCATAGCCGAGGGATATGTTACCACAATAAACTTAGTAACATTGTTTGGTTTGACTTCTTGGCGCGTGTCTGAATTCCATTAACATGTTACATATCCTAAAACTAGCTTATCAGCAAATCTCGCTGCACGCGACAGATACTAGAGTAAGGCATGCCAGAAATACGAAACCTAAAGCTTCCGAAAGGAAGACTTCTCCATCACGTGCGTCGGGGGACCAGCGCTATCTGATTGGCCGTTAACAGTTGTACAAGGCGGGGCAAAAAGCATCGTTTTTCTGTCCATTTTACGCTTGAAAAACTCGACCCTAGACGCTCACCAATTAATCAATTTTAATGAATTTTTAGTCGTTTTTCCGTCCAATGACCATATACGGAAAAAAGATGTTTTCGTGTTTGCAGTGTATGTACACACTCGGGCCTATATGTACACACTCGGGCCTATATGTACACACTCGGGGCTATATGTACACACTCGGGGCTATATGTACACACTCGGGGCTATATGTACACACTCAGGCCCATATTTACATACTCGGACCTATATGTACACACTCGGACCTATATGTACACACTCGGGGCTATATGTACACACTCGGACCTATATGTGCATACCCGGGCCTATATGTACACACTCGCGATCGGGGCTATATGTACACACTCGGGCCTATATGTACACACTCGGGCCTATATCTACAAACTCGGACCTATATGTACACACTCGGGCCTATATGTACATACTCGGACCTATATGTACACACTCGGACCTATATGTACGCACCCGGGCCTATATGTACACACTCGGGGCTATATGTACATACTCGGGCCTATATGTACATACATTTGGGCCTATATGTACACACTCGGAGCTATATGTACACACTCGGGCCTATATGTACACACTCGGGCCTATATGTACACACTCGGGGTCAATGTACACACTCGTGGCTATATGTACACACTGGGACCTATATGTACATACTCGAACCTATATGTACACACTCGGGCCTATAAGTACACACTCGGGCCTATATGCACACACCCGTTGCTATATGTACACACTCGGGCCTATATGTACACACTCGGACCTATATGTACACACTCGGGCCTATATGTACATACTCGGACCTATATGTACACCCTCGGACCTATATGTACACACTTGGGCCTATATGTACGCACCCGGGCCTATATGTACACACTCGGAGCTATATGTACACATTCGGGCCTATATGTACACACTCGGGCCTATATGTACACACTCGGGGTCAATGTACACACTCGGGGCTATATGTACACACTGGGACCTATATGTACATACTCGAACCTATATGTACACACTCGGGCCTATAAGTACACACTCGGGCCTATATGCACACACCCGTTGCTATATGTACACACTCGGGCCTATATGTACACACTCGGGCCTATATGTACACACTCGGACCTATATGTACACACTCGGGCCTATATGTACATACTCGGACCTATATGTACACACTCGGACCTATATGTACACACTCGGGCCTATATGTACACACTCGGGGCTATATGTACACACTCAGGCCTATATGTACATACTCGGACCTATATGTACACACTCATGCCTATATGTACATACTCGGACCTATATGTACACACTCGGGCCTATATGTACATACTCGGACCTATATGTACATACTCGGACCTACATGTACATACTCGGACCTATATGTACACACTCGGGGCTATATGAAAACACTCGGGCCTATGTGTACACACTCGGACCTATATGTACATACTCGGACATATATGTACACACTCGGGGCTATATGTACACACTCGGGCCTATATGTACACACCCGGGCCTATATGTACAGCCTCGAACCTATATGTACATACTCGGGCCTATATGTACAAACTCGGGCCTATATGTACACACTCGGGCCAATATGTACACACTCGGGCCTATATGTACATACTGGGACCTATATGTACATACTCGAACCTATATGTACACACTCGGGCCTATAAGTACACACTCGGGCCTATATGCACACACCCGTTGCTATATGTACACACTCGGGCCTATATGTACATACTCGAACCTATATGTACACACTCGGGCCTATAAGTACACACCCGGGCCTATATGCACACACCCGTTGCTATATGTACACACTCGGGCCTATATGTACACACTCGGGCCTATATGTA